TAAGTAGTACAAAAACAACAACAACGATACAATTGCATAAGAAAAGAAAGACAAAGACAACAGGCAGTGTGCAAAAACCAACAACAGGTGATGTGCAAAACAACATCAGATGTGCAAAATCATACATCAGCAGAATGAAATAAAGGGATAGAAATGAGGGTCGATTTCAATGTGTGTTTGAGTTTTGATAAAGAGAGAAGGCACTGTGAGGGTTCAGATCGTAAATGAGAGAGGCTGGGAGTTTCATGGCTTGATAGTGTGGGGGTGAAAACTCTCTCTGAGTCTGGTAGCCCGGGCCCGAATGCTCCGGTACCGTTTTCCAGATGGTAGAGGGTCATACAGTCTGTAGCTGGGGTGTGTGGGGGTCTTTGATGATGCTCGGAGCTTTCCTCAAGCACCGTCTGTCATAAATGCCCCGTATAGATGGGAAGGGCCACCCCAGTGCAGTATAATTTAGTCGTCCTAATACAATCGCATACAAATACAATCACAAGCTACAAGAGCAAAAAAAAATCCCATCCAGGACATATACAACACCAGGAGTCTGAAAAAAGCCACCAAAATTATGTCTGACCCCACTCACCCCGGTCATAACTTGTTTGTTCCCCTACCATCTGGCAGAAGGTTCCGGTCACTCCAGTCGCACACAGACTGTCAAGTTGGTGACGCCCCCACTCCCTTCCACCTTATTATGATCTCTCCTAACATCCTCCTGTACCCACAACCACTGTACTCCTACACCACCACACACACATGTAAGCCAAAATTGTACTGTCCCTTCGATAGCCCAGTAAAACTGTAACAGGCATAATAATATTTAATATTAATTAAACATACTACTTTTAACCACGCTATTTTTTGCACTGTTCCAAGAATTACCTTGCACTGTTTTTGTCCTGTTACATTTTCTCTGTTTGCAGAATTTTGCACAGTTTTCGATGACTTGATTACATGTTATTTATGTTATGTTATTACATGTTACTATTATTGCTATTGTCTAACTGTCTTATTGTGTAACTGTCTATTGTCTCATCTTCTGTCCTATTGATATACTGCACCTGAGTGACTCATGAGAAACACTTTTCATGATACTATGCACCTGTGTAAGTTTAATGCCAATAAAGTTGAACTGAATAGTCTTAGTTGACCGAAATGTCTGTCCTATTGAGGCATGCGCTTTTTAATTTAGTCTACTGATTTGGTTCAGTTTTGTTAAACAGGAGGAAAAAAATGCCTCAAAGAGATTAGCAACCCAGCCTAAGAACTGTCCATTTCAAACGGCTACAAATCATGAAAAATGTTAAAAATTGAATTATTTCACTCTTAGATGGTCTGTACTGAGTTGGAATAACATTGTTTTCACTCTGCCTACCTTCTCCTGCGATGACATTCATTGTCTTCTAAGTTTTAGCCAAACAGGTGATTCCGTCTTGTCCTCATTTTTTTTTCCAGATCATGCAGAGCTGTTGAACATTCATTTTCATTCAGGATTACATTTGCAGGCTCTTCGGTATCGGCG